CCCGCTTTCCCGTTTCCCCGCTTTCCCGTTTCCCCGCTTTTAAGGTAGAAGGACTCATCGCATCGGAGAACTGACCCCCTATAACCGTCGCTGGATCCCCCAGAACACGCTCCTAAATCACGACGATCGTTTCAGCCGTTTTCGAGTCTGTAGGGTACCCCGGACGGACATACAGACAGAGAAACAGGTAGACAGACATACCTTTTCATATACATACATGGAGAGAAGATAGATAGATGGAAAGATCTGAACGAACTTCTGACCCTGTCAGAGGAGTTCCGATTGAGAAATCAAGCATCGGAGAGTCTCCCCTACAATCAGACCCAGGAAGCGAACCAGCATGCACCAAAACAGGCGGGAATCATTGGAAAGCTTCTTATTTGCGTCGAGCTGTGTTAGCTCCTTTCATCTCGGAACGGCAGCTTCTTCTGTGTGTTCCATCATTCTACTCAACAGATGCGGCTTTTCCGATGCTGCGAACTGGACGATGTACGATGTCACCCCTCAACGCGGGTAGCTCACTGGTGTCCAGGTCCCGCGAATCCGACATCCGACAATCATCTTGAGGGGAGGAAGAAGGGCTGACCGGATCGACGAAGAATGAATTCCATGAATTTTGAAGTACACGAAGCTATAGCATCGTCAGCTCCGGCACAGACAGGCAAATGCCCGAAGAGTCGAAGAGCCAATACTGGAAAACTCATTGTGAGTCGTACTCGTCATGGACGGCACGGTCCGTGAGAAGCCTGATTCCATCCCCATTCCGAGCTGGCAGCCTTCGGAGCTATGGGGAAAACGCTTCCCTCGGCCTTCGCCGCGGAGCGCAGAAATTAGGTCTCATTCAGTCGACTCTGCCATGACGTTAAGATCAGAAGCTTCGTGGATGCGTGTAGAGTCATGGCTCGCATTCCACTTTTGGTTAGCACCATAGATGGTGCCTGGATAGACACAAAGGAGAATATGGATCCATTGCCGTAAGTTTAGGCCTCGGATCACAGATTATCTCCGAGGATGGCACAATGGCTTCAATATACCCATGAGGAAAAAGCTCATGGCCGCAATAAGTTTCGACGCATTGACCGAGAAAACTCCTGAATGGAAGTCAAAGGGTCTATGGAAGCTCGCTTGCACGAATACTGTGAGGACTGTTG